CTAGGGTAGAAGCTGAAATCAAGCCAACCAGCCCTAGGAAAGTAATACTCCAATATCTGCCACACCAGGAAAGTGAGTAACTACTTAGGCCTCTTCTACTGATTTCCCTCTCACGAAAGCACTTTAAGGATAAAGAGTACCTGGTTAGGAGTCAGATTACTAGGGTCTGAATACTGGCTTTGATGCTTATGAGCAGTGGCACCTTGAGTAAGTCACCTCCCTTCTCTGGTTTCAATTTCCTCATCTATAAAATGAAGGGACTGGAGAAGATCTACAAGGTACCTTCTGTGAATTCTGATTTTTTAAAATCTGATCCTAATCTTTTAGCTCTCTATCCCTCCATATTCCTCATTCATACTAAACTTACTCTTTGGCCTCATCATTACCTCCAGTCCTTCTAGCCTTCAGTTCCACCCCATATTATCACTGCTGCTTTCGCTATACTCTCCTCCCCACCCAGCACTGACCCTTTTGTGAATTGGTTCACCTCTATACTGTCCTTTTCTCTTGAATTCCTTGTCCTGTTGCTGTTCATGCCTTGCTAAACCCCAACCCTGGATTATTACTCCCATCCATCTCCTTTGCTCCTACTCACTACTGAATGGTACTGAAGAAAGTCATAAAACCATGCTCACTGGGAACCCCTATATTTCCCAGCTAATCTCAACTACAGCAAAGTAATCGTACTGCTCCTCACTAATTGATTCCTTCTCCCACTCACTACAAAAGCTGTTCCAAACTTTTTCTTCTCTCCTCATGTCTCCCATGCCATTCCTTTCCCTCCTCCCCATCCCAAGGACCTTGCTTCAAACCTAACTGAATGTACTAGACCATTCATGCTCTTGCAATAGAGCATCAACTCTGTATCACAACCTCCCCCTCTTCCCAGTTCTGTGAAGATCCAACTGGCAGAAATTTGCTCAGGCTGCTATAAGAGCAAGGAGAGCAAAAACAGTGAAAAGCCATAGTAGTTTGTGTCAAAAGAGAACTTGACCAGACAAGGGGAGAACAGAGGGAACTGGGGCAAGACCCATGGGTGGGGCTGGGTGGCATTCCACTAAGCTTGAGGGGAAGAGCCCAGCACCCAATTGGGGCAAGTTCTGTTCCACACTGGCCCCCTCCAATCACTTGGGGCAGAGATCTAAGCTGATAAACTAACTGTGAATTGCCTATTATTGGAGAAGGCTGAGATAGGTTTGAGATCCAACAATCAGGAAAACTAAGAAAACTCCCCATCAAAGAGGAGGAAATCGGGAAGCGAGGGAAAATAAAGAAAAAAGGTTGAAATTATCAAAGACCTCAGGAAGAAGAAAATAATTAAAGACTTTGAACGTGAGCTAATCCATAGTGTTAGAAATACGCTTGACACCAAAAATTTAGTATCAAGAAAGTTTATTACAGAGAAAGTCCAGAGGATTTAGACGTTTCTGGCCAGAAGTGGGCTCCATCCCTCTTCAGGAGGGGTGGGCCCTGACTGCAAGGGCAAGTGTGCTTTTATGCAGTTGAATTCGGGCCCGAAACCTCCCAGGCCGGGATTGGTCCGTCCCTTCCCAGATTACACCTTTCCTTACATGTTTCCCCTTGATATGCTCAAGAAAGTTCTCCCTCCCTTGGTCATACGTCCCATGACTAGTTAATGAGGCTCTAATTTTATTTGGGGTGTGTCAGATAATAGTAATGAAGTTCATTAAGCAGGCGCACTAGCATTTTTCAGGTGTCCTCAGGTTGACCCTAACTGGTCTGAGCTGGCTCGACCCTTATCTTGATTTTGGGGTCTTTTTGGAACCATCAACTTACTTTTTATTGGCTAAGCCCGAGCCCACCTGCAGTGTACTACTTCCCGGAGCTGTTGTTCTTGTTTTTGTTCTTTTTTAATTTGCTAGGCAATGGGATTAAGTGACTTGCCCAGGGTCACACAGCTAGTGTTATGTGTCTGAGGTTGGATTTGAACTCAGGTCCTCCTGAATCCAGAGCTGGTGCTCTATCCACTGCGCCACCTAGATGCCCCACCTGGAGCTGTTGTTCTTTAAATCTCTCCATTATTCTACCTGTGGAAATGTAAGCCCGTTTAACTCTAACAATAGGGAAGATAATAAAACAGAAGGGAAAATGACCTCCAATTCAGGGAAGAGTTCAAGCATCTATAAATAAGTGTTAGAAGACAACGGAAAATGATTCAACAGCTGACTCATCAGAGGATCAAGTGGATTCCCGAGAGAACATGGAACTTTAGGAGGATATTCCTGACTGGTTTAAAAAGGAAATAAAGAGTTGAAAAAGCAGAATTTATGGCATGTACAGCAAAAGTAATTGGTAGAAGATAAAAACTTGAATCCATGGTAGCAGTGTCAACAAAGAAATAACTGATAGAAAATGCAAATGCACAGAAATGAAGACAATTTAGAAGAGAAGCAAAAAAGCAAGAACATTGAAAGGAAGCATGCTCTCCATACAAGCAAAACATAATGATCTCAAAGACAGGATGCATAATGACAACTAAAGCACCATGGGTCTCCTAGAAGAACACAAAAAAGTTAAAATAAAAACACACTGGAATGGACGAATCCACATGCATGTTCTCCCTTCCAAGGATGTTAGGAGGATAAAAATGTATTCCAAAGTTTCTGCTATTGTTTTGGAATGCCTCTTTTGGAATTGCCTTTGGAGGCAAGCAAGTGCCCAACTTTTTCCCTTTGACAGTTCTAATTGTTAATAATTTTCAGCCTCATTAAAGCTCTTTGCAACTTCTACTCATTGTTCTTAGCTCTGCCCATTGAGGCCGACAGATTAAAGTCTCCTGTCTCTTCTGCTTACATAATATACTTAAAGATAGCTATCAGGTCCTCTTCTCCCACTCAGTACTGAATCTTCTCTATGCTAAATGTAATTTAGTCAGTTTCTGTCAACTGATACTCATCTTATGTCATAAACTCAAGGTCCTTCTTCATCTGGTCTCCTTCCTCAGAATTGTCTCTAACTGACCATCTCCGCTTCTTTAAGTTGAGTGTAATGTAAGTTCCTTGAGGACAAGGATTCCCAGTGCATCATAGGCATATAAGAAATGTTTGGTTGTTGTTATTTTTGGTGTGCTTCCTAAAATGTGGCACCCAGAACTGAACACAATATTCCAGATGTTATCTGAGTACAATAATCCAGATGTTTTCTGGCTAAGGCAGAGTGCAGTGGAAACTCCCATAGTCTAAAAATTGCATCCACATATTTTGGCTACCATACCTCACTAGAAATGTATATTTAGTTTGTAATTCACTGAAATCCCCAGACCAAAGGTCCCTAGTTTTCCTTGAAAGAGGGTCATTTTTCACTAAAAGGGCTAGAGAGGATATATTCCTGGAATCTACATTTATAATTTGGAACTACATGTTATTATAAATGGAAATCAAGTTATAAAATACAGTGACAGTATGGGTTACCTAAACTTTTACAGGCTAGCCTGGGAACCTAGTTACTCTTTATAGCAATATACAAAATGTGTTCTGAGTTCCAACTAATAATAAACTTTTGGAACACAACCAGTTTATAAGGTGGGAATTCTTGTACTTTGGAACTATATTGCTCCACACAGACTTATAAGCACATGGATTAGTTGTATTTCTTTTGAATTCTCACATTATTTAACTCAATGGTGAGTGATGAGGTAGAAAAAAGTGCTTGAGGCAGATGGAGCAAGCAGGACATGAGATAGGAGATAAGACGCAGAATGTGACCAGCCAGAAAAGTGATCAAGGAAGACTATGTATTGAAGCCCCCACCTTGGGCTTAACTGTGTGCTTTCACAAAGCACCCACAACTCCAGAACAACTCCTACCCTCTCCTTTTCTTGTTCTCTTTTCCTGTCACCTGCAGACTACCTGATATCAGGTGTTTTGGAGCCATGCTTACTTCTCCCATTCTCTAGTCCCCTTCCCCCTATGCCATAAAATTGTATTTAAACCATACCTTTGACCTGGCTAACTGCCTTTGCCTCCTACAGGAAGCAGGAGCTGCTGTGCTCCCTTAGGGGAGCAGGGCCTGTGGCCTATGCTCTGCCTCCTACGTGGGCTAGAGCCCACTGGGGCTCTGCCTTGGGGAGCAGGTCCGCTTGGGTACATCACCCTAATAAATGCCTTTCTTTAACTTGGAGACTGCCTGAGTGAATTCTTTCAGGACACTGGGACCTGCACATCTATTCCTCATCATTTCAGGTAGCACCCCAACATCCTTGGGGTCCAGCCTGAACACATCACCAATGGCTACAGAGAAGGTCTAAGTGAATTCTTTCACACCTGAACCAGCTTGCCCAACTCTAACCTCAACAGGGGGAGCACATAGAAGTTAACATCTGGAATATTGTGTTCAGGGCTGGATGCCACATTTTAGGAAGCACAACAAAAAACACAAATATATTAGGTGTCTAGGGGGCACCCCAGGTATATTACAGAGTCTGGAGTTAGGAAGAACTTATTTCAAATCTGACCTCAGATACTTGGTAGTTATGTGAATCACTTAACCTCTCTCTGATTCAGTTTCCTCAACTGTAAAAAAAACAATCCCAGGGATTATTGTGAGGATCAAACAATAATATTTATAAAAATGCTTAGCACAGCACCTGGCACACAACAGGTACTTTATTGTAGAGCACCATGCGAAATAGTCAATTAACTAGTCAACCAGCATTTATTAAGCACCTATGTGCCAAGCACTATGCTAAGCACTGGGAACTAGAAAGAGAAGCAAAACAAGACAAAACAAAACAAAACAGAATCATTTCTGAAGTGAAGACTTACTAAACGCGTTGGATTGAATTGTTTCTTACAGTTTCTTCAAAAAAAAAGTAAATCTTATTCTTAAGTCAGGTTTCCTAATCAAGTTAGAAAAATCTTATTCCTAAGTTAGATTTCTTGCTCCGATTTTAAAAAAATAGTTATTAATCAACCAGTGATAAGAAAACCACAAGTCCTAAAATTCATCATTCAGAAAGGCTGACACCATTGAACACAAGATTTTTTTTTTACAAAAAAACCACTTTATTATTTTTTGCACTATTAGTGGCACAGATGTAAACTTTAGGGAATCACCTGATAATTGCATAACTTTGGGGGAAAATAGTTATTAAGCACCTTCAATGTTCTGCACATTTTTTAGAATTGACAGCTTTTAAAATTTTTTGAAAAATGTATCTGATAAAATATGAATAAAATGAAGTTATAAAAGTTATACAAAATCATGAAGAACACTTTATATAGAGCTGGATATGTTTTGATAAATATAAATCAAAAGGAATCTCATCTGTAGAACAGGCCTCAAATCAACCCCAACCCTACTGCAGGGACCAAAAGGTTCCCCAATCTTGTGCTTCATGGAGATGTATTGCCTGCATCATAAAATAAAATTATACTTATCATGTGTAAGGAAAGGTTCTCTCCTCACCTGGGTCCCAAGGTTCTTCTTCTCTAGATGTATAGAAAGACAGAGGGAGACGGGTAGGAACTGGAGTGAGCATAGAGGGGAGATGTTGTGGGAAGACCATTCTTGGGAAGGAAAAATCACTGAATTACAGAATTGCAAGATTGGAGTGGACCTCAAGGTTCATTTAATACAAGCTCTACCCGAGGCATGAATCTCTCTATATCATTCTCAAAAAATAATCATCCTGTCTTTGCTTGAAGACTGCCAATGACAGAAAAACCCACTTGTTATTTTGCCATTATGGCTTAATTGCTTTGAGTCTTAAATGTCTTTGTCTCTAAGAGCCCCCTATGGAAAAAAAGAGCAAACAGCCCTGAGAAAGGTCACACTATAAACCTTTATCAGCTAATAAAGTTATTAAAAGAAATTTTGAAAATATCTCTTAGCACTGTCTGGGACCTCAGGGGTCATCTAGTCCAACCTACATCTAAACAGGAATCTCTCTTAACAGGCTGACAAGTAACATCCCCCAGTCTAGGCCCTTAACATCGTGCTTGGCATATTGCAATCATCTCATAATTCTTCTCCCTGCCTAAACTGGTTCCCCTCCCCCTCCACCCTACACACTACTTCCAGATTAATCTTCTTCAACTACCAATAACTTATTTCACTGTCCTGTTCAGAGGAAGAACTCCTCCCTCCCCAACAATTAGAAGGTTCTTCTTTATCTTCAAAATAAAACCCAAATTCCTTTCCTTGGCATTCAAGGCTCTCCACAACCTGATGCCAAGCTCCCTTATTAATGTTACCTCCCATTACTTTCTTATACAAACTCTGTTTTACCTACTCTGATCTGCTGAATGTCTTTCAGAGACACTGTACTTGTCCTCAACTCTATGAATTTCCAACTCTACGCCTTTCCCCCTCTTCAAATTCTGGCTATTCTTCATGGTCCAAGGAAAGTTTCAATTCCTCCACGAAGTTTTTCCTGAACAATCTAGTCCACTGCCCTCTCTGGACTCCTACAGAACTTACTATGCTATTCATTTGGCACTTAATTGATTATCTTCCATGGCATTGCCAAGGAAAATGTAAGAGAGAGAGACAGAGACAGAGACAGGAAGAGGGGGAGAGAGAGACAGAGAGAGACAGAGAAACAGAGACAGAGAAAGACAGAGATAGAGAGACACAGAGAGACAAAGAGAGAGACAGAGAAAGAGAGAGTAAATATTCTTTGGCACATGGATCCCTTCAGCTCAGAGCTTACTGAGTTTTCTTTGTTGATAATATTCACATTCTTTTTGCCTCTCCAGTTTTGGGGGTTTTTTTTGTCTAAAGCTATTTAAATCAATCACTACATTCCCTTCTACAGCTTTAAAATCCGTGGTCTTTATGCCATCAAAACTTCAGAAACTTAGCTTTGGACCCCATATTTCTACTGTGGCATTAGCTATTGGCCTCTGAAGAGTAGGTGATACAAGAATCTCATGCTAGCCACTCAAACAGCTAAAAGAACATCTTTTAATCAATCGTAGGAAATAACTAGCAAAAATAAATGGGAGCAACCCATCAATAAACATTTATTAAATGACTACTATGTGCTGGGCACTGTGCTAAGCACTGGGAATAAAAAAAAGAGGCAAGGACCCTTTTAGTAAGTCTTCATCAATAAACAATTAAGAATTAGGTTATTTAAACCAGGAATCCAATTTAGGTTATATTTATGAAGTATCCACTGTCTGCACAGCCCAGTAACAAAGATCTGCATGTAGTAGGTGCCAAATAAATGCTGAATTGAAGTGTTATGGCCTTACATTTTCTGGGATGCCTCCTGGGATGTCCAAACCACTGAGATGTGCCCAGCACTTTATGCTAAAAAAGAGACCATTCACGCCTCCCCCCCATTACTTCTCACAGTCATCTGCCTCCCTCTGAGGCATCATCAGTTCTGCAGTTTTTCTCATAAAATGAGAAGACAGGACTCATTCTTCAAGAATGAGAAGATGGAAGGCCAACAAGGATCATCCATACAGTGAGTGAGGATACTGGGTAAGGCACTTGAAATCATAGAAATCCAATTAAGAGGAAAAGCAGACCTGAGGAGAGTTTTAACTATGAGGAAGGTTAGTCTGCTAAATGGACCAGGTAGGGGAGGAGAAAATGATCTCCCTAGCATTCATTTCCTGGCCTTGGTGTTAGAGAAATCCCCAACCCAGGAGAAGAGCACTTGTATAAAATGTTGACACAAGGAATGAATTGTTGCCTATGTAGTCTCTCTGGGGCTCAGTTTCCCCATTTGTAGAATGAGAAAGGTGGACCCAAGATAACCCTTTCAGCTCTTACATTCTATGGTCTTGGCATACTGGATTATTGGTGGTAGGGGTACATGTGGGTAGATGCATTAGAGAAGGTAGTTATTGGTGTGGCTTGAGGGACACCAAAGAATCCTCTTATACCTAAATATCTCTTTTATTGGTCTAAAATATCTACTTTTAGATTCATTCATTTGGATTAAAGCCTGGTCTACCTCACGTCATCATCGAAATGTAATATCTTACTGGGGACAGATGACATAAATTCCTCAGCAGACAGTAGAATTCCCAGGGAAATGGGAAGGAGAATACACAAGGTTTTCTTTGTCCAGGAGTAAATGAGAGAACTGAATTTGTTGGAAGACGTATACTAGAAGGGGAGGGCAATGAAACAGGAAAAGAGAGCACCTGGCAGGGAGGTAGGAGGCCACCATAGAGATACCTTGCCTACCTCACAATTTTTTCCTAAATTGGCTCAGGCTGGCTGTGTATCCAGGGGCTGAGAGAGACTCAAGAAGCCAGACAACACAGCTGTGGGGCTTCATGTATTTCTCCAGGAGCCTCCACCAAGAGGGTCCTTAAGGTTCTAGTATACAGATTGAGGCTTTCCTATGACAGAGAGCACAGAATGTATTTTTTTTTTAGTGGCAAATGGAACACTGAAGGTCCCCAGGTTGTGCTGGTCACTGGGTCAATTACAACTTGGCTCTGAAAGACGTGGTTTCAGTCTGGCCCATGTCAAGGTAGGGTGTTGCGGTTGAAAATGTGGTGAATGTAAGTGGTGTTCCAGTGCATTACTTCCTCTCTATGCAGTCAACCCCCAGGGTGTTGTCAGGACATCGACAGGACCTGCTTCCTGGGGTAGCCAAGCAGAGATGTGTGCAGCCTCCATTATTCACTGTGCAGTAGTTGTGGCCTGTTGTAAGGCAAAAGTGTATTCATTTTGGTATCAAGGGAAGTCATCTGAGCTGACATAGATGATAATGCTAACAAGATGGCCTCTCTATTGAGTCTTTTTTTTTTTTGGCTTTTATGACTATCAAGAGGCAGTTAGCATAGTAGATAGAAGGCTGGCATTGAAGTCAGGAAAGACTGGGTTCAAATCTTGCCCCCGAGGCAGCTACAGGTGGTGTAGCTATAGGTGGTGATAGAGCACCAGTGTGGAGATAGAGAGATCTCAGATCAAATCATGCCTCAGATGCAAGCTGTGTGACCCTGGGAAAGTCACTTAATTTCTGTTTGGTCTCCTGTAAAATCGATTTTGTGGGTTCTGAGGTCTCTTCCAGCTCTAAATCTATGTGAACCTGGTTAAGTCACTGAATCTGGTTAAGTCACTCAACTGTTCAATGCTTTAGGAAATTCTCAAAGAAAATACAGATGATTTCCTGACCTGTATCAGTAAAGAGAGTTCCCATACCAGGAAGCTCACTACATTAATTAAATCATAGGTTCTGATTTTAAAAAGAAAATAAGAACATGAAAATATGAAACTGTCCAGGATGTTCACAGCCTTATCACTGGAAGTCTCCTGCCTAGGTATTTCCTTACATATAAACAAAATCCCACACCGGGAAACAAAATATAACGATCCTCTGGTTTGCAAGCTATGCAGATGAACAGCTCATCTCCCCAAACCACCAAAACTTGTCTGGAAAGCTATTCCTTGTTTAGTCATTTTTCAGCTGTGTCTGATTCGTCATGACCCCAGTTGGGGTTTTCTTAGATACTAGAGTGGTTTACCATTTTCTTATCCAGCCCATTTTACAGATGAAAAACTAAGGCAAACAGGGTTAAGTGACTTGCCCAGGGGCACACAGCTAGTAAGTGTCTGAGGCCAGATTTGAGCATGTGAAGATGAGTCTTCCTGACTCGAGGACCAATACTTTATCCACTGCACCACCTAGGTGTCTCCCCAAGAGTTATTTCTTAAGGGGCTAAAAAAAAAAGTCTAGAATATTGTGCATCTCAAAATGCTAGGCATAGTAAGACTGTTCTACTCTCCCTTCAACTTTCCAATCCTCATCTCAGTGTAGACTGAGTCTTCACTAGGTATGTGGAGATTGGCTGGGTGGCTCAAGAGGGTGGGCCACCCAAAGATTTTAATATAACCTCTTCCTCATCACTGCAAGTGGGCAAGTCAAATTCATAGGACACCCCACTACCCACCCACTCAATCCCACTTCCTCCCCCACCCCTACTTCAATTTTCCCTCCAACTTCAAGGGGCTTAACAACACCACTGACCGCTAAACTCCAGCAGTGTCAATGACAGGTACCTTGGGGACACTGAGAAAAAGCTGTTGTTATGCCATACAGCCGGGTCTGTTTGTGAGGATGGAAGCTGTCCGTCTCTTTGGAGATAGCGAGATCCACAGCCACTACAGAATTCCTACCAGCAAAGGAAACAGTACAAAACGTTGTCTGTTTGTTCTACAGAGGAACCTTTTTGCAGACACAGAGTTGCCAGAGCAACGTCATTAAGCAAAGGTTATGGGCTTTTTTTCCTAAGCAAGAATATAGAATATATTCCTCCTTGACAGGGCCGAAGAGGCCGGGGGGAAGAAGGGGAGTTTAAATCCCGGTGCCAACTTCTTGGAGGTAAGCAAGGATCAAAGGGCAATTCTCACCACCCTCTCTCTGGCTTAAGATAAACCTCTTTGGGCAGCCATTTCTCTGGTCTCCCTTTATCTGGGAGGCAGGGTTAGCAAGGTTAGCAAGGGGACTGAGGATATACAGCTAAATAAGTACTGTGGTAAAGAAAGAAAAAATAAAAGTGACACCATTTATTCTAAATAGCGCAGGACCCCTACGGATTGGATGCATATCCCAAAGAAGCCCATTTTTGAAAATATGGGAAAATTCTGCTAACCAAAACATTATGATGAAAAATGGCTTTCTTTTCTCCTTTCTCTCTCTTCCTATTCTTTCCCCTCCTCCCACCTAAGCCACTGACAGCTCAGAGAGTAGAGGAGAAGTTTCTCAGAAGGCCAAAGTCTGGGCCAAACGGACAGATGGGAAGGTCTGTGGCCACAAACACAGCAAGGGCCCCAACACTGTAACAGCTGACGTACGTTTTCCAGTCTGTGTAATACAAATTCTTCCCATAGCTTGTAACGGCAAAAGGATACTGGGGCCCTTCAAGGATCTTGCGCTGGCTGGGATGACTAGGGTTCATACATTCCACCCGATTGGTGCCTGTGTAGAAAGAAAACAATTTGTTCTTTGTGCATGAAAAATGGCTCTTTTGTGTCAAAAACAGGGCAGGGGTGAGAAAGAGTCAGTGTTACAAATGACATAGCTTAATGAATAAATTCAACTTCTAAAAAAAATTATTTTTCCTAGCCTTCCTTGACACATTCAGCTTTCTTCTTCCTTCATATAATCATTTGGAGCAGGCCATTTTTATTTCCAATAGTTGTTAACAATCATAGTAACAACTCATATTTTTATAGCAATTTACTGTTTAGCAGGTACTTCTAACCCTATGTTGTGCGAAGGCCAATGGCAGCTGGTAACTACCAACTAATGGGCTTTTGAAAAAGTGAACTCCTAGATCAATGTCTGGAACTGGTACCATTTGTAAAATTATCTTCTTTTTTTACTCAGAGGAGATCCAGCATTGGATTTTCTGGATGGACCTAGATCTGCCTCCTATTTGAGAGATGGCAGTGGTGAGCCTCTAAAAAAGCTGTCCTCTAGGATGTGACTCAAATAAAAACAAAGCAAGAAACTCAACCTAATTGATGATGAGATCCCTGACTGTGTCTGTTGACAGTAGTTTGAGAAATATGTTCTGGTTGCTGCTGGGAACCTTCCTATAAAGAATTAATAAGCTCTGACATTTTTTGGTCAGGTATCTGGGTGGTACAGTGGAGAGGGCACTGGTTTGTAGTCAAGAAGACCTGACTTAGAATCCTACTTCCGACACTTACAACAACCTGGGGTTGTTGTGAGGATCAAATGAGATAATATATGTAAAGTATTTGGCAAACTTTAAAGTGCTATAGAAATGTCAGTTTAAAAAAAAGTACAGTCCATTCTGGTGATGTGCTTGTAAAGGCTCTTGGGGCGGGATAACATGTGGGAAGTTCCCAGCTCCTCCCTTTGTTGGTAGATACACCTGAAGTACACCACCCAAGCCAAGGGCTGGCATTGCTCTTTATTCATCATACCTCAGGGTATTCATTTACCTGCATCTACCCAGCACAACAGTGAACTGTAAGTATCAAAAGTCAATCCATTGGGCAATCCCAGGTCATCTTTCACAAGGATCCTTCTGTTGGTGCCATCCATGTAGGAAGTTTCAATTTTAGGACTTTCTCTGTTCCAATCTGTCCAATAAAGGTTTCTAGAAGAGGAAAGATGTCAGTGGGGAAGAAGAGAGAAGAAAACAAAGGAACACTGAAGTAATATTGAAAGGCTTTTTTTAAGTTCTTTTTTTAAAAGGAGACTATGGTTAAAAATACCAGTAGATACTAAATAAGTCATGGGATAAAATGAGCAAGCTAGGAAGAACAGAATGGGGAAGGGGTAAATTTAGCTTTTCACAGTTTATATTTCCTCCCACATGCCAATTGGCCAGTCAGCTTAAGAACAAACTCATTCCATAGTCTGAGCTGATATGTTACCAGTAGAGCTGTTCTCAAAATCATTCATTATATATAGTCACTACATAGTACAATAACCAGGTTTTGGAGAGTGAAGATGAAGGTATAGACGTGGACTCAAACAGGGACAGGGGGCAACGATACTTGCAAACAGGTCCAATATGTGTCAGGGGAAAGAAAGCTGACTCTAGTGAGATCCACGAAGTCCAAATTACACGAGAAGTGAGGACAAAGTACTGTTTAAGAATGTTATGCTGTCTGATATCCAAATGAATAATAATAACAACAATAATAATAACCATCACTGGTGATGGATTGGAACCAGGTAAGAGTACTGGAGCTGTCCATCTTAGTCTCACTTCCGATATTATTCACATTCAATGCAGGTGAGGAATATGATACTTCCAGGTTGTAAAGCCTAGTGCATGGTTTTTCAGTAGAACAAGGCAGTGTGGACACATCACACCTGAGCCATGATACATATGGTTTCTGCTAAGTAGGGTTTAGTCTACTGAATAGTGTTTCTACAAAATGGAAACTTCTGGAAGAAAAAAAAAGTTTTCTGAAGAGTATCAACTATTTTCAGAGTTCTTATATTTAGGAAAGGGAGTAAGACTGGTGTTAATAGCCCACTATCTGATAATATCCCAGTGAGACATATGCATTTACACAAACAAAAAATACCCTCTAATAGAATCTGTTATGATTCCTCTGGGGTTCACCAGATCTGTCTCAAAGAGTACTCGCCGCTGGCTACCATCAAGCTTTGCTACTTCTATTCGATCCAGATGAGAATCAGTCCAGAAAATATTGCGACCTAGATGATCAACAGCAAGTCCTTCCGGACTTCCAAGATCTAGAATCAAACATGGAAAAATCAGAAATGACTTTCGTCAAATAGATTTAGTTGTTAAACTGAGGTAAGATTATGAAGTTACTGATGGGTATCTCTTTGCTATCATAGCCTGAGCTCACTTAGTGCTAAGTCCTGCAGTTCACAATTTTGCCATTTCCATAAGCTCACAGTTTGAAAATGAAGTCCTGGTTGTTTCTGAGCAGAAGTGTGTTGGTAAATGTTGAAATGTACACGTGGTATACTTTTAAGTTTAATATGCATTATTAATGTTCTTTCTTAAGTTGTGACAATCAACAAAACAATAAATAAAAACTCTGATTTGTAGCATTTGCTCATTTCTGAGGTTTAAATGCTCACACTGAAAATTTAACAACCGGCTGTCTCAAGTCATACGAGCTAGCTCCAGCACATGGGGGCTTATAAAATATACTCTCCTATGGTCTTTCAGAAAACCCAGAGCGACATTCAGTTTAGTTCAGTGACTAACATTCAGTTAGTTCATTCAGTTTAAGCAATTAAGAGGGAAGGGAAGGGAAGCAAATATAGATCTGTGATTTCATTGGTGAAAGTAAAACTCCCAATATGGCAACTCCCTCTACTAATTCAGATCAGCACCTTGCCTACAACTTAAATTCATAGAGTTATTGGGGAGGGCATACCAAGGTATTAAGTTTCTTTCCTAGGAACACAGAGTCAGTTGTAGCAGAGGTAGGTCCTAAACTTAGGTCTTTCTGACTCCAAAGCCATAGTGTCTAGGGTTCATTGAATTGGTCTAAAACCTTAAAGCACTACACAAATGTTAGCTATTACTCTACAAAGTCTGACATAGACTGACAAGCTTAGAGTCTGGAAGATCTGGGTTCAAATCCTACCTCTGATACTTACTAGCTGTTAAGCCATTTAACCAATCTCAATTTCAGATTCTTCATCTATAAAACAAGAGACTTAAACTATATATTCTCTAAGGTGTCTTCCAATTCTAAAACTATAATCCTATAAATGGAGGATGAAACTCTTCCCTCCTCTCAGTAGAAGGATGGAGTCTATGGATGTAGAATACTACATGTGCCATTGGGGCAGCTAGGTGGCGCAGTGAATAGAACATCGGCCCTGAAGTCAGGACAACCTGAGTTCAAATGTGGCCTCAGATCAAACACTTGACACTTACTAGCTGTGTGACCCTGGGCAAGTTACTTTAACCCCAAATGCCAAAAAAAAAAAAGTTAAAAAAATACTACATGTGCCATCAAACATTGTAGCTTTTTAAATTGGCTTTGCTTAACTATTTCTGTTTGTTATGAGGCAAGGTTCAGTCAGGGAGTACATTGTGAAATAACTGTCGTGTAGGAAACAAAAGTCAGCAACACAACTTTAAAAAAAAGTAGAGTGAGGGGGGAAAAAACCCAACTATAACAAGAATTTGTTCTCTAAGGTGTTTTTTGTTTCTATTCAGCCTCCTACCTGGGTAATTTAGGGAAGTGAGGTAGTCAGCACAGTGCTTAATTCAGTATGCATTAACTTTCATTAAATTTTAAAGAATCCAAACACTAAGGCTGCTGCCCCCACCCTTTCTACCCTCAGACTTCTGATGGGAACCATGCCATTACATGTTGGAGACATCAAAGCCACCTCAGACCCCCTCCCGGAGGAAGTTCATTAAGAATGAAAAGTTGTGGTGGGGGCAAAGTCTTTTTCATTCAAAGGAAAGTATGGATTTGTAAAGTATTAAAATATTTCACATGTCCCTGGAGGCAAAGGGAGGAGGAGGATGACCTCTTGAGGTCATGTCCCACCCTTTGATTCCATGAGACAGGATCAGAATAAATCACTGTGGGGTAAATTTGGAATGAGTCCATCCCACATGGGGTATGTGGGATACTTAGAGCACATACTGCAAGCTCACACTGATGGGGTGGGGAGAGGAGGGACTGTTAAGTGTTTAATATTTTTATAGGACGCTTGAAGAAGTCCCAGAGGGAGTTCCACATCTCATTATCTCATCAGTAAAAATCTTGGTCCTAATTCAAACTCCAAGAAAATTCAGGCCCCCCAAGGACATGTTGCTTATAGCCTATGGTGCTGAGATCTGGAAAATGTCAACCTACATGCAGCTTGGGTAGAATGATAAGGCAGCAAATTTTGTATTACTTGCTCAAGTTTAAATTAAAAATAATCGTAATGATGATGTTTAGAAAGAACTGGTTTGGGACTTTAAATAAAGAATGCTGAGTTAGGGCAGAGCCCTAACAACAACAACAAATAAGAACCTACTATGTGCCAAGCACTGTACTAAGCACTGGAGAGACAAAGAAAAGAAAGATGGTCCCTGCTCAGAAGGAATTCACTTTCGAATGAGGGGAAACACCATAAAACAACTGTTGTACAAACAAGCTATTTACAGGATGAACTGGAAATAATCAACAGAGGGAAGGCACTAGAATTAACAGGGGATAGAGAAAGGCTTCCTGTAGAAAGTGGGGATTTTAGCTGAGACTCGAATAAAGCCAGAGCATAAGACATAGGCAAAGGGAAAAGGGAAACATGGCTGCATTCTACATCAAGCACCGACCTGTAAATGTTGAAATTTCTCTGCATTTGGTGAAAAGCGCACACTGTGACTTTTCTTCTACAAGGATCAGATTTGGGTTTCTTTCATTCAGTGTTTTGGCAGTAAGTAAGTAGGCTTTTGTTGGGAACATTTCTGACTGTGCAGAATTGTCTTGGATGGTTATCAGGTCCAAGAGCAACAGGAAATAGCTGACATTGACCTACTAGCCTAGCCTAGCCCACTGAGTTTTGAACTCAAAATGAAGATAATAGTCACAACATTTTGGGAAAAGGAATTATCTGGATAAATGCAAAATGGCATCTGGAAAGCTTCTACTCATCAACCCAATCATGGAAAAAACAGCAATCGTCTCTTGATAACAGAGTTTTGTACCAAAGAACTCAGTGGCTGTATCCACAGCCAAACAAATTTAATTCAACTTTAACTCCCGCTGCATTAACCTCTGGCAAAGTCAACCAAAGGGAAAAAGCCCAGGGGTCTGCTTCAAAATCACTGGGACCCTTTCAGAATAGGAATGGTCAGAAAAACGCCAAACTGGAAATTGGAGAACTATGCTCTGTTTCATGCTAGGGGAAACCAAAAGCCTATTTTCAAAGGCATGCTGTTATGAGTTAGCAGTCCATGTTGGAAGCAAAATGACTTTCTATTACATCATATTCCAGATTATAGATGAAATCCCAAGAGAATCAATGCCATTTCAATACAGATCTGTAGGATAAAAATATCTTTAAGTCCAGGTAATGGCTCATTTATTTCAGGCAATAGTAAAGACATGAAAACCACTATGCAATGACAGAATTTAAACAAACCTATAGATTGCACTGTGATAAGATCCATCCTGATTCAATGGAAAGTATACTGGATTTAGAGTGGGAGCGCTTCAGTTTGAGTTCTGTTTTGATCAGCTACCTAACCTGTGTGACTTTGGACAAGTTACTTAATCTTTCTCTTTAGGCCTTGGTTTCCTCATCTGTAAAGTAGGGAGATGAGAAGGTGAAGGGAGTCTTCAAAGATAATATAGCATAGTAGACATCTACCAGTGTGATTTGGAAACCGATTCCATTTCCCAACCTTATTCTCAAATTTATTCTAAAAACAGTTAAGGTAGGTCACCCAATAAAGGAGCTGTTCTAGATGGCCTCTGAGGTCCCTTCCAGCACTAAATCTATGATCTTCCTAGGGACAGGCACATTTTCAAAGGGAACTCTTGAGGCAGGTTGGCTATAGAATGATACCTGAGGCCACAGGCCCCTGCCTGATGCACTGGACTGTGAGATGCCATTGCCACTTATACCATGGAGGTAGAGACCGGTCTGTCTTGTTTCCTAGAAACAAAACCAATGAATAACAGAAAACATTTCCCACCTTGTTTGATGATGGTTGTTGGCTCCCCACCAGAAAGGCTGGCTCTCCCAATGGCAGGCTCGCTGATGTCTGTCCAGTAAACCACCTTATCCACACAATCAAAGGCGAGTGCAATAATAACTTTATCCTGTAAGTGAACACAAGCTGTTACAGAGCTACATGCACAATTTCTTGAAGGTTAAAGTTTGCACTAAAAAGTAACGGGGCCTAACCCCATAAGAAGCTCAGCTGAAATCCCTAATGTGATCTTTCACATGGCCAGTCAATTACTAGGTAGCCTCTGGGAGGATCTTAAATACTTCTTTCATCTGTGTTCTTCTTTTGTAGCACAGGTCATATTAATGACACCAGCAATGCTATTTTTCAAAAATCCAAAGGCCTCCCCACCAACCAAATTTTTATTGGGCCCACCCAGATTTATCCATTTCATACTCTTCTCATCATCTCCTCATGTTAAGCAAGTACGAATATTTACTTCCATTTAATTCACCATAAATTTTCTAAGCAACATCAGGCAACATGGTATAGAGGAATTCTTTCTTTGGTCTTAAGAGTTAGAAGACTTGAATTCAAATACCAGCTCTGATAATAACTACCTCTAAGATCGTTGGAACAAGTCATTTAACTTCTCTGTGCCTCAGTTTTATCTTCTCTATAAATTGGGGATAATAATGTCTATCTGAGGCAATGTGTTATATGTTGTAGTGGATACAAAATGAATGCCATGGTCCTTTCCATGAAGAGGTTTATAATCTGGTAGGGGGGTAGGTCCCATTGATTGCCTTGGGAAAGCAATTTTCTATATAGTCCCCTAAAACAAGCATACTTCCTCCTATGAATGAATGCTACCCTCACAGTAGGTTTGTCTATTCTACATGAGGTCCCATTTAAATAAACCCCTTTGAGTACTGTAGTTATCAATTTTCTCCTTGGCCAGACATTAAGAAAAAGTTAATCTCTTTAGAGATACTCATGTCAATGACTCACAAGAAAATCTAATGCTGTTTCATTAGACACCTAATGCTGTTTCTAGTAAGACAGTGAAAGGCTTAGCTCATTTGGAAACCTGGGGACACGGAAATGCCAGTTTTGCCTAATACATATACACATATATTCACACTCACGCGCGCGCACACACAGACACACACACACACAAGTTTATTTGTGTGCTGAATTGCTGAACATTTATAATTCTATAAGTTAGCCCCAAAAATGGCTGCAAAGAATTTTCTGTGGCTTGGGTTCCCCACTCATATACTCCCATTTCAATCTTTGCCCCTCGTGATCTCAGTCCAGTTTCTGCCTCCATGACTGGATTTGGAGGAAGTTTTTATTCATCAAAGGGAATTTTCCAAATTATCACGTTCTGATATCAACTACTTCTTGTATGCTAGATGTTAAAAACAATGAAAAGGAAGAGAGTACTTTCTTTTAAGGAATTTATGCTTTTAAAAAGACAACAAAGATGAATAGAAACACACAACTATGGTTACTTTGTAAAAAAAAAGCAGCTATTTCTGGGTTCTCTCTCTCTCTCTCTCTTACTCTCTCTCTCTTTCTCTCTCTCCCTTTCCTTTGTGATAAAGAAGGAATGGAAGAATAACAATGGGTAAAGAGAAGTGGTTGTGGGGATAGATAAGATGAATAAAGTAGAGAAGAAAAGCAAAAAGATTAAGGAGGAAAGAAGAAGAAGAATGACATATTCATGTGAAATAAATGGATTAATTTTAAACATGCAAAGGAAGAGGTATTCTTATGAAAGCTAACTGCTTCAGTGTCTCTGAGCTAGAGGCTACCTAACTGTATGCTTGCTTATCTCACTTCCTTCCTCTCTCTCAACCTTCCCTGTGGACCACTCTATCCCACTACATATGCTTTTCCTCCCATGGCTTCGGAGACAATATTCTCCTCTGGCTGTCTCCTGGTACTTCCTTCTCAATCTCCTTCATGGCTCCTTGTTCTCTTTCTGAATATTTGTGGGTGTTGCCCAGACCTCTGTGCCTCTACATTCTCTCCTTTGATGTAAGTTCATTCACTCCAATGTCTTCAGCTACCACTTTATTGTAGATCATAGATAATGATATAACTAGAGCTAAAAATCATCTCAGATGTCCTCTAGTCCAGCTCCTCATTTGACAGATTATGAAGAGACCTATGTAGAGATGATTTGAGTCTCTAGATTTGATCTCTTTTCTGTGCTCCAGCATCACATCAGCCAGTCCACTAACATTTATTAGGTACCTACTATGAGGCTGTGCGTCAATACAGGACATCTCCATTGGGATGCCCCCAGCATCCTAAAACTCAACATTTCCAAAATTGACATGTATCTATCTCCCTAATTGTCTTTCCCCCTAGAGATGTTCCATATTCTAACCTCCTTATTTTGACATCACCATTCACTTGGTCTCCTATGCTCAAAAATCATCAGTCATCATTTATTAATCACCTACCATGTGCCACAATCTTTGTTTTGTTCTTTCCTCTCCTCACCTTCCATATTCAATGAGTTGCCAAGTATTGTGAATTCCATGCCATAGTATCCTTCAGATCTTGTCTTCTCCCTTTTTCTTTGTTCCCAATGCCATCACCCTTGAAGGTTTCATTACCATCTGCCATAACTACTGCAAGATCCTCATGGTAGGCATCACTGCCTTTGCTTTTTTTTCTCCTTTAATCCACACCTTTTTTTTTTTAATCAGGATTAATAAGCAGAGTAGATTGGGTTGATGCTATGGACATAGTATACTTGGAATTTCAGCAAAGCACTGACAAAGTCTCTCCTTGTGGACAGGATGGAAAGATGTGGTTCAGCTAAGGGGTTTTGGAACTGGTTGAATGGGTGGACCTAAATAATGTCAGGAATGGATTAATGCCAACTTGGAGGGAAGTCCCCAGTGGTATGGGACAGGGAAATATCTATTCTTGCCCCTGTGCTGTTCAACATTTTCATTAATGATATGGAAGAAAGGCAAAGAGTGCTTTTCAAATTTATACATGGTACAAGAAGATAGAATCAAGATCCAAAAAGTTCTTGACAAGCTAGAACACTGGGCTGGATCTAATAATACGAAATTTAATGGGGAGGAATATGGAGTCCTATACATGGGTTCAAACAATCAATTTTCTAAGTATGAGATGGGGGAAGCCTGGACAGAAGTTAGTCTAAAGAAGATCTGACAGTGTTAGTAGGTTACTTAAATCACAGTAAGTCAATATATGAAATGGTGGTTAAAAGAAAAAGCAATTTTAATCTGCATTAAGAAAGGAATAGTGTCCAGAAGGAAGTAAACAATAGCCCTATTGTCTTCTGCCCTGGGCTCACAAAACAGCATCAGATTTTCTTTCTCCTTTATCTAACACATCTGAAGTACTGTATTTCATTCTGGGCACCACAATTTAAGTAAAACAGTTACTCAGGAGAGTGACTAAGATGGTGGGAGGATTGCTTGAAGAAGCTAGGGGTGTTTGGCCAAGAGAAGGGAGGACTTAGAAAAAAATACAACAGCTGCCATCAAGTATTTGAAAAATCTATCATATGAACAAGAGGTCAGATTTGTCCTGCTTGGCTTTAGGGGATAGAATTAGGGCCAATTGGTGGAGGCTACACAGTGGCAGAGTTAGGTTTAATGAAAGGAAACACTTTCCAATCATTAGAATTGCTCAAAAATGGGATGAGTTGCCTCTAAATAAAGTGTATTCCCCAACACTAAAGGTCTTAAAGCATAGTCTACACCAGTGGTCCTCCAACTTTTTAATAGCAGGATCCCTTTACACTCTTAGAAATGGATGAGGATGCTTTTGTTTATATAGACTATAGCTGTTGATATTTACTGTATTAGAAATTAAAACAGGGGAAGCTAGGTGGAACAGTGGATAGAGCACTGGCCCTGAAGTCAGGAGGACCTGAGTTCAAATCCGGCCTCAGACACATAATATTCACTAGCTGTGTGACTCTGAGCAAGTCATTTAATGCCAATTGCCTCACCGCCCCCCCCAGCCAAAAAAGAAAGAAAATAAAACATCTTAGTATTACCACAAAAAACAGTTTTGACCTCATAGACTCCCTGAAAGGATCTCAGAGACCTTCATAGGTCATTGGACAACACTTTGATTAGATGATTACTAATTGCAAATATTGTACAGGAAATCTTTGAGATTCCTTTCAACTCTGAGATCCTGTCATTTTGTGGAATGGGAAGACTGATTATGCAGCTGTACAACTAGTCTAGAGTGAGATAATGAGCAGCTAAACTGGAATGTTGGCAGATAGACGGATGGGAGAGATATTGCAGTGATAGAATTGTCAGGACTTGGTAACTGACCGTATTTGTGGGGTGATGGAGAAGCATGAATTAAAAATGACTCTGAGGTTACTAGACTGAATGACTTTAGAGAGATGATGGTGCCACTAATAGAAATCAGGAAATCAGGAAGAGTAGCAGGTTTGGAAGGCAAAATGAATTCATTTCTATACATGTTGGACTGGAGGGACCCATGGAACACAGATGGAGATGGCGAGTAGTAAACATATTGGAATGGAGCTTGGGTAAGAAGTAAGGCTAGAGATGCACATCTGTGAGCCATTTGGACAGAGATAAGAGATAGAAGAGAAAGTCTTTGGAAGGAGGTGCTACAGAAAAGTCAAGAAGGATTCATAATGGAAAAAAAAGCCCGTGGTTCATAGTTAACTTTCATGTGAACAATTTGAGCAGAGTAATGAAAGCAGGAGCCAGCTGCCAAAGGGCTGAGAAGTGGTTAGGAAGTAGAAGCAGTGAATATCCTCTACTCTTGAGAGAAGCCTACTTTTCTAACTCAGGCATTTGAATGACCCATAGGTATTATGTCAAGTCTCTTGCTAGAAAATAGAGAAGAAGGTCAGATAATTTAACCTTCCAGATATCACTCAATATTAAATTCTTTCTAAATAATGAGAAAACTGACAAATCCAGAATTTATTCCTGAAACATAAAAAATCCAAAACAAAAAAATTAGTTTCTATGCCTCTGGAAACTGTGAGCATACAAGGTCAAGTCGATACTGTGGAATGAATCACTTTATTCTTTGGGAAGGGAAAGAACAAGCCTAGTAGAAAAATGGAAACAAGGTAACACACTCTCAGGGGCCTAAGCTCTCCATCACTGAAGTGTACTATAAAAGGAGACTTTTTCAAGATCCAGTTTATACAATTCTATCTACCTGTTTGTGTCTAATGGTAGCCATCTCTAGGATGGGGGTCGAGAAGAAAAATAAAGAATTTACATGATAATTTTGTTGTATATTTTAAAAGAATAGGAAGTTGTGCATAGTAGACTTGCAGTTTCATGCACAACCATCTTTTTATTGTACTTATAGTTTGGAAATGCTTGTTTTATTCCATAAATTAAAAATAAATTTATTTTTTAAAAAAAGGGCAAGAGAAGAAGCTCAAAATTGCCTCAGAGGTGAGCCTCATAACCAGCCCTGAAAGTTGGGTAGAGGCCACATTCTACTTGTCCCCATTCTAGCAGCAGGAAACTGAATCAGAGCAACTTCCTAAAGGTGGCATGCAGTGAAAATCGCATTAGAGCATTGGCAAGAATTCTGGCCTTTATCTCACTAGACCACACTGTTTCTCCAAGTTTATTCCAAAGCAGATGTTATGATCAGATGCAACAGTTATGTACTTACAGGGACGTGAAGTAAAGCCGTAGCCTCAGTTTTCTTCATATTATTTCCTTCTAGTGGGAGACGCTCTATTTTCCCAGTCTGGGCAAAGAGTAAGTGTGTCCCAGGGGGGAGAGGGATTACAGCTGGAGGAACCGAAGGTCCAGGATAGACTGGAGGAGCAACTGTGCTCAGACCTAGGTAAAAGAAAGTGATAATCAGTTCCAATGCAGTGGTTCAAAAAAGCCCACAGTCTAACAATAGGCATTTATTTGTTGAAAAGATGTAACTATGTATGAGTTAAACATAAAAGGCAAACTGGAAAAGATGTCCTGGTTCTTCTCTATGTTGAGTTCTAAAGGAATATGAACAGATAGGGAACAGTATTGATCAATGGAAAATGAAGTGGCTCAGAATTCAGAGGTCCTGGGCTCAAATCCTGCTTCTGATAATATCTGTGTGACCTGAGGCAAGTCACTTAACCTACCTAGCTGTTAGTTTCCCCAATTCTAAAAAGAATGGGTTGAATTACAAGGCCTCTAGGATTCCTTATGGCTTTAGATCTATGATCCTATGATCTACATGAAAGGTGTAATTTATGGAAGTTATAGCATTGGGGCTGACAACATCAGAATAACTTTTCTCTGCATTAAAAGACTGGTGGGTTTCAACCCCAAGCAAGAGCAAATAAAGTATACAGTCATCCTTTTTCAGTTATGATGGTCATCTTGGTAATTTCATTAATGTGTTTAACAGAGGGACCAAGGCAAGGGGGATAAAGAAAAATTAAATTAGTGTTGTCTTCTACTCAACACTTTTGGTAAAGTGTTTGGTGTCAGACAAGATGAGATTAGTAGTTCATGAGAGGTTTTGGATTATTTTAGGACATTCTATGTGTCTTCCACATTATTACAGGTACTCAAAGGTTTACTTTACTGGCTTTCAGTAATTGGAATGCCATTTATGATAGAATTAAGGGGTTTGAGATCGTAAATGGTCCTTATTGTCCATCTCCCATAATTTAGAGAATAAAAAAGTCAGGCTAAGATCGGGTTAGGGGTCTGGTGCAAAGTAACACTGCTAGTTAAAGGCACAGCTAGGACTCAATACAGGTATCAAGATTCCAGGTCCATGACTCCACTTCACCATTGCATTGTGAATTCATTGGGAACTTTTATGGCTTTACTTTATCTCTGGAAAATCTGCTCAGTATCTGAAAGGTCTTAGGATACAAACAAAAACCAAACAAATGACATTAAATCACTTATTGAGTGATTTATAGCTATCAACTCCCACTCATCTGAGCAAGCAAGTCATGAGGTGAAGGTCTAAACCAGGCTCTACAGATCTATATACTCTGATCAGAGTTGCTGACTATCAGAGTAGTAGAAGAGAATTTTAAAACCCTGGGCTTTTAGTTTCTGAAAGTTCACAACAGGGAGCCCTTAGCATGAATACTATCACTAATCCCAATTACAATGAGGGAGAAGGATCAGAAAGGTGAATATCTAAAACCAGGGGCTAAATAAAATCCTTCAATTCATTAGCTAAAGGGCATACTAATGACAGGAACACTTAGACTTTTTAAGATAATTTTATAGTTGAAATTTTTCTTAAGACACCATGAGTATGTACATTTTTATGTAGAGCAGCAGTTCTTAAAGAGGAGTCCAGGGACATCTACGGGTCCTCAAAACCCTTTCAGGGAGTCTGTAAGGTCAAAATTATTTTTACAATAGTACTAAGATGTTTTAATTTTCAATATGGTAAATATTGATTGGTATAATCCAATAATTTTTAAGAATGAGACCAAACAGTTTGTGAATAGTGCTGGTGGAAAGGTTAGTTGGAGAGGGTGAGTGAGAGGAGGTAGGCTTGGCAAGAGTACCAGTTCAGGGTTGTAACATCTGATAAATACAGTTGGTGGGTACTGAAATGGGGCTTTGTCTTTAATTAGATCTGAATTAAAACAACACAGAAGCTTCAGCTTCAGAATATTTAGTACAGTACAATAGCTTTAGAAATTTAGTACAGAAAGGAATATCGAAAATCACCCAGTCTAAGATCATCCCTATTTTACAGAAAAGGAAACTAAGGCACAGAACACTTAAGTAACTTGTGCACATTCACATAGTATTGTAGTAAGTGACAGAGTCAGGCTTTGACTCTGGGTCCCCCTGATTCCAAAGTCAGCAGTCATTTGAACCGTGTTAGTTTCTACTGCATAGCCTGATAAAACCAGGTTCACTTGTGTGATATGAGGAGTTTTCTCACACAAGACCCCTGATTTTAAAGTTAACAACTTACATGGGGGTCTCATTCCAGGGCCGGTCCTGGTGCCATCAATCTCATTGCCATCTCGATCCACACACCAACAGTACCCACTAGAGTGGTGGCACTGCATTGGTACATAATGTCCATGTTCATCACATTCAGGAACAAACTGTCCTACAGGTCTGGGCCATCTTGGGTCTGTGGCACCCACTGTTCCTAGAATATGTTCTCTTTGACGCTGGCATCTGGTTTTCTCTACTTCTGTTAAAGAGTTAAGAAGAAAGGTGGTAGTTAGCATTGCTAATAACCAATCTGTGTTTTTATTGAGCACAGAAAAAAAAGTTTCCATTCTTCCAAATTGAAGCATTATAGTTATAGCCTGATTGTTGTCTGGGTTTAAAAAAAAAAGATTTTGAAATTTTCTTTTAACCTTTGCCTTGTGTTGTCACAAGCTCTTGATTGTGTAAATCAATTCAATTCAATTCAATTTAACAATCATTTATTGCATCAAACCAAGATCAAGCGTACTGGTGACAAAATGTGAAATGATTTTTTTCCTGATATTTGTATATTCTTCCTTTATCAGATTAAGGTGCCTGACATTTATCCAAGGAGCTCCTCAGTTAGACAGCTAGGATCCCAATATAGAGAATTGCATACTTTCATTTGCCGGAAGAAGGGATAAGACTGTTTTTTTCTTCCCAGATCTCCACCATTTGCTAAATAATGCAAATCACTTCCTGTTACCTTGTATTTGCTTTGCATATACTTTCTTTCTACTTATGTGGACACATGTTTTCCCTGAGAGACTGTAAGAAAGATGATTTCATTTTTGTCTCCGTATCCTTTGTGCCTAGTACCACCCCACATAAAACTACTAAAAGCTGACTGGCAATTCTTACTGTGTCAGTCTGATGGTCTGTGACCTGCAGCTAATTATCTGTCTCCTGCTGTGCTTAAAATGAATATCAGCTGTGGTGCTGGTGAACTCTCATGTACTTCCCTGACTATTAAGCAATGGTTTTCGTGTAAGCATGCTTAGTCAATCTGTAAAAAAAAGATGGAGTAATGAGAAGAGATCAGCTTGGCCACTGTAGGGCTAGAACATCTGGCAGAAATGACTGACTGATAATGAAACCGGGCTGACAATTAAAACAGATGTATGTATGCACACAGAAACACTACTGCTTGACAGTCAATGGAAACACGTGAGAGAGATACATATTCTATACCTTATGTCCACAAGACATCTTGGCCTGACTGTTACCCATTAATGCTAAAAAGGACACAGTCAAAGCAGTTCCCCTTCCCTATCTGCCCTAGTCCTAGTTCCTAACCACCCTACGTGACTGGGTTTCCTCTCTGGTCTTAGAGTTAACTCTTTTGTTATAACACACATAACTTTTTTTTTGTTTTTTAAAAAATTATTTTCATTTATTTCATTAGATATTTCCCAATTACATGTAAAAAGAATTTTAAAAATCTTTTTTAAAAATTTTGAGTTCCAAATTCTCTCCCTCCCTTCTATCCCTACCCCTTGAAAAGGCAAGCAATTTTATTTTATTTATAACACTTATGATGATGATGATAATGATGATAACAAAACAATAATAAACTCACACTTATATGCCACTTTAAGGTTTAAAAATACACAGAAGTAATAAAATTGAAATTTATATTAGCATTTTATAATTGTGAAAAATTTTCATATATACTAATTCAACATCACAACCACCTATGTGGCAGAAGCTACAAGTATTATTATCTTAATATTACAGATTTTAAAAAAAAAACTGAGACTAAGAGGTTAAGTGATTTGTCCTGTATCACATGGCTAGCAAATATCAGAGCTGGGATATGAATCTATGACTTTCTGTCCAGTGCTCATCCCACTATTCTATTCCATTGCTTCTTACATATATTTCTTTTGTCTATGTCTTTTTTCTCTGACTTTTTCTTATTTAAATAAAATTAAAATTAAATTTTACATTATTTTCAAATGAAGATCTGCTTTCTCTCCCTTCTACCTCTTTTCCTCCTGCTCCATCTGCATTCAATAAGCAAGAAAAAGAAAATCCCTATAAACACATGTAGTCAAGCTAAACAAATTCCCATATTGGCCAAATATGTCCAAAAAATGTCTCAAATCTGCATTCTGAAGCCATCACCTCCCTACCAGGAGGTGGGCAGCATATTTCATCATGAGTCTTCTGAAACTGTGGTTGGTCATTATGTTGAACAAAGCCCCCAAGTCTTTCAGAGTTGTTTGTCTTTACAATATTGTTGTCATTGTACATAAATTGTTCTGCTTCTCCTCAACTCACTCTGCATCAGTTCATATAAGTCTTTCCAGGTTTCTCTGAAACCATCCCCTTTATCAATTCTTACATCACAATAGCATTCCATCACATTTACAGACTGTAATTTGTTCAGCCATTGCCCAACTGATGGGCACCTCCCTCTCTACTTTCAAAGTTGTAGATCATTCAATTCAATGAAATCCAAGAAATGTTAAACTGTGTGCAAAGCACTGTGGTAGGCCCTGAGAGAGGAGCAAAACTGAGATGAGATGGGATCTTTGTGGAGTTTACATTCTAATAAGAAGTTGTTGATGTTTTAATATAGTAGGAGCTTAAGACCTAGTAGGATGATTATTCTCTGGTCATTTCTTAACTGGACTATTATAACATCTTCCTCCTTATCACTTTTCCTAACTGATCCTTTCTGCCAAAGTTGTCTTCTCAGCCCATTATTCTGAACAAAGCATGCTTCTTTTGAAATCCCTGTGATGGCTATTCCTTGAAGTAAGCATCAATTCTGCCTAAAGTCCTCACCTTCTATATCAAGTCCTCCATAGCCAGAACAATCTCACAAGCACTTAAACTTCTCTTCATCAGATTATTTTCCTCCTAAGTTGCAATCTAGGTTTAGTTATCTGAGATGTCCCCCCTTCAATCATTCAAATAGCCCCTTAAGTCCTCTTCCATGAAATCTTCTCAGATTGATTCATGGACAAGCAACAATTTCCTGATATTTATCCAAATAGAGGCACAGTAATAAGAACAGAAAGACATTTTAAAAATAATTTTTACAAAGACTCAAAATGTATATTTCATATAGATTTAGTATCAGCATTCAATGGATGAAAAATCTATATATGTTATATACTTCAATCCTTCAAAATTTCATAATTTTCAATCATGTGGGTAATAGTTCACCAACACAGCTCCCTTCCATGCAGGAAGGTATTTATGGGCTAGTTAATGTCACCTAGTAGCCAGCCTTCTGGTAATGAGAATTTACCTAAGTAGGTACTCAGATTCTAGGTGAGTAGGTACTCACCTAGGCTGAAGATTGTTTCCAGTGATGACCTATGTGCTGTAAAGGATGTCACACAGAAATGTAGAGTTGGAACAGAAAGTAGGCGACTCAAAGTCAGCATAACAAAACTTAGGGATAGCAAAAGATGAATAACCTGAGGACTGATACTCACAAAAAGCAAAAAAAAATCCCAGACCAAAAAAAAAAAGGGCCTAGCACATTGGGTCAATTCTCTGGAGGATTTAGGGGAGAAGGCAAGCAAAAATCCCACAGAATAAGAAGGCACTGATGGGGAATACCCTCTCCCCCTCATCCCTATGAGATCGTGCATCCACTGAATCACTTAAACATTAAGTTCCTCAAATAAAAAGTCAGTCACTTGCTATTCAAGGCCTTTCCAGTTTGTATCTGGCAGTTTAGACTTAGTTGGCACAGCTTTTAGGAAGCTGGAGCTGTTTTCATGAGATTATGAAGTGCTGGAATCGGATTTTCATTAGTTCTCTGAGTTCTTGAGGACTACATCAGATAATGAAACCTCTGGAAAGCCCTTGAGCATGGGCTCAGTGACAAATTGCATGTTTTCATCCCCAAACCAGCCTAATAAAGTTTAGAGAGTTTCATCACCAGGTTGACTGCAGGGTTTTGAATTTTTCAGCCTCAACAACTCTCACAAAATCTACTAAGTTATGGAAGGGGATGGGTGATTTGTATAGGTGTGGGCAATACCCATAACAATGAAATAAAAAGTCTTTGAAGTATTGAATTATATGTATGTGAATACACATATATTTCTTTAGCAGTGTCCTATAGGCCAATGTCCACTAATAACTGGTTAATTATAATTTAATAACTTAATTAATAACTGGTTAATCCTATTCCATATATTTGTCTTAGAGCCAACCTGATGTAATGGGTAGAGAACTGGACTGGGAATCAGAAAGATCTGCGTATGAATTCTACCATTAGACATTTACTAGTTACATACTTGAAATGAACATCCAAATTTAAGAGGTCACAGATCCATTTGAGAACTGGGATATTTGATAAAGAACATTGGCTTTACAGCCAGAGGATCTGGCTTTGAATCTTGGCTCCGCTATTTAGTAGAGTAGCTAAGTGGCATGGTGAATATAGTGCTGGGCCTAGAGGCAGGAAGACTCGTCTTCTTGAGTTCAAATCTGGCCTCAGATACTTACTAGCTGTGTGACCCTGGGCAAGTCACATAACCCTGTTGGCCTTAGTTTCCTCATCTGTAAAATAAGCTGGAGAAGAAAAAACCACTCCAGTGTCTTTGTCAAGAAAACCTCAAATAGGATCACGAAGAGTCAGCCATACTGAAAAATAACTGAACAACAACTCACATATTTAACAGCTTTCTGACCGTGGGCAAGTCACTTAATCTCTCTGGGCCTCAGTTTCCTCATTTGTAAAATAAAGGAGTTGTACTTGATGATCTTTAAGGTCCCTTCCAGCTCCAAATCTATGATCCTATTGAGCTTGTATTAATACTTCTGCTCTTGACCTATTTAACATGACTGCTACTTTCATTAGGTACCATTGGTACAGCAAGAGGATTGAGTTGTTGAGCCTGTCAAGTGATAACTTTGTTTGTGTTCCTTAAGTTAATTTTAAAACTGGATTAAAACAAACTTCCCCTATACTAGCTTTGGAAAGAGCACACAAAACAGACACAAATAAGTAAATCACTTAGAATAAGAGGGTCAACATTGCTTTTAATCTCTTTAACTATCCGTTGTTGATTGACATAAACTGTCATTTCTGCATCTTATAGACTTTTGAATCAGGAATGCTTGGCATGATGCTCAAATATATGGCACGGCTCAATCAGTGTTGCTGATGATGACACTGGTATATCATCAACCCTCCACCCATTCAGGGAAGGGAGTACATATGGACCACTCTTTTAAGACATAGAGCAC